ACCCCAACCCCCAATGTCTCCATAAAGAGGGGACCTGTTAAGTGAATTGGCTATCACATAGGGGATTTTCGAGTCCATTTTGTGATAGCAAAAATAAAAAAAAAGTGTAAAAAAAAAACCCCACACAAAAAATATTTTTAAAGGAGAACTATGAGGTAAGTGTTTTTCCCCATAGTTCTCCTAAGGGTCACGGGGGGACATTAACTAGCGTCCTCCCGTGACCAAAAGCTAAGTATATCGCGAGCTACGGTATACGGAGACTGCCGCAGCCGGGACGGATCCCGACATTACTGTCGAGATCCAGTCAAACTGCGTGAGAAATCCAGCTTTGAAAAAAGATGGTGGCACCAAATGCACCCTGCGGAGCAGCAGGTGAGAAGAGGAAGACGCTGGATTTGCTGGGCCGGTATGGACGTAGTTAAGAAAACGGCAGCAAAGACAACTTACCTCTGTTCTTATTGGATTAGGAAGGCGCAAGATCCGCTTTGATATTAAATAATTCACGTCAGTCAAACAATGCAGAACATTTACCTGGAACTTGAGTCTCTCCATCAATTGCTTCTCCCTTTCTGTGGCTTGGTCTTCGGTCGGCTCCTGATCCAAAGGACTGACTGATTGTTTCTGCTGCAGCTGACTCAGCAGGTAAAGAATCTACAGAGAAATCATTATGAGGTCAATGGGATACATAAAATCTAAAAAAAACAAAACATTTTTAATATCAAAATGTGACAAATGTTTAGCCTCTCTGCTGCAATACTGCTTTGTGGAGGGAGAGAACACACACGTTAGAAGGAGCCCACAGTGCAGAGATTGCGAGGGTTACCTTTTCCTGATGCTGCTGCTCCATCTCCATTAGCTGACTTTGATGCTCCGTCTCCATTTCCGCCATCTGCTTTCTTTCCTCAAAGATTGTTTTCTGGAGATCGGCGAATTGGGCCCGGCTCTGCTTCAGGTTACTTTCAATTTTACTGTTCTGAACTTTGGTAGAGACCAGCTAGAAGACATGGGAAAGGTGACAAATAAGCTACAGAGTCAAAGTCCCTTTGCGCATAGGGCTCTGAGGCCCTCAGGGGGTTTTGAGGCTTACTCAAACCAACGGAGGAAATAAATTTTTTTTTTTTTTAAACGTGGCGAAGAATGATTTACCTGGAATACATCAAGGACACAGCAGTTTTTCAGGTACATTGTGTTATGTTACGGCCTTCAGGAGACTGGCAAACAAGAGCTGTATGCACAGCCTAGTAGCTCACTCCCATCATGCTCGTTTTGTAGCAAAGCAATAGTCATAAAAACAGAGGAGAGGGAGCAGTGTCCCTAAATGTATTTCAGACTGGGTCAGAAAGGTTCCTAAAAAAATATATGGAACGGCCAAAAGCAACACAGCAAACAGAACGCTAACAAGCCCTCAGAATGTTTGTTTTGCGTTTCTATTATATTAGGGATGCACAGATACAAGTATTGGTGCCGATACTGAGTATTTGGGCGAGTACTCGATGCCTAGCCCGATACTTCCTGTATCAGGAAGCCGGGCAGCACGTCATTACTTCTTACATTGTGACGAGAGAGCATGGAGCGTACTTCCCGGCCAATCAGGAAGCCGGGCAGCGTGTGATGACATGCTGCCCGGCTTCCCGATTGGTCGGGAAGCTGGCCAATGAGGAAGCCGCGCGCAGGCTAATGACGCAGAGCACGGCTTTCTCATTGGCCGGGAAGCCGGTTTCATGCTCCCTTGTCACCTCATGATTGGCCAGTAAGCCTAGATACGGCTTCCTTGTTAATCGGGAAGCGAGTCATTACACGCCGCCTAGCTTCCTGAATGGGACTTCCGGTACTCGGTATCGGTGAGTACTGGAAAAAATAATAATAAAAAAAAAAAAAGAAAAAAAATCACACACACACACACACACACACACACACATTGTGCTCATCATAAAATCCTTCATCATCCATTGCGGGACACAGTTCTAAAGAAATCTAAGATGTCAGCAGCATAACCCTACGTCTCAGAATTCTTCAGAGCTGCGTCCCTCAATGGACAATAGTTTAGTGGTTTGTGACGCAACGTAAATCCGAGGAGATCCCGTCACCAGACCACTCATGAAGACAATCATCCAATAAGATACGAGCATCTACATTATTTTATTCATGTTAGATATCTGTAAACGCCTCTCTTGTGTAGACATCCAAAAGCCCCGAGACTTCTCCTGGAAGCCGCCATCTTAGATGTGATGTCAGCAGTCTCAACTATCACTTGTGTGGCACACCGGGAGAAAGCACGACAGTTGCTATGGAGCTGCAAGTCCCATGAGGCACTGCAAGGCTGTCAGCCGCAGGCATGACTCCCAGAGACCAAGACGATGGCATTTGTAGCTTCACCACAGCTGGAGTGCCAAGGTTGCCTATCCCTGCTCTATAGTATTTCCCTTTTGCTCCTACCCCTAGAAGCTACATAAAAAGGTTATGGAGGGAGGTGAGAAGTGGAGGAGCAGGGCCAGTACGCTCAGCACGCTCAAAAAGCAATAAATTATTATTCTTTTACCTGCATTTTTTTTTTAGGTTGGTGACAGTCTAAGAAATAAACCAGGAAACCCCCCCCCCCCAAAAACCCCTTGCAGTGTGTCTACCTCGGCAAGTGTTAAGCGCTCGTTTGTGTCTAGGTGCTAAAAAAAAAATGCTTTTTCGTACGATAAATCGCCAGGTGTATGGAAGGCGTGCGACCGTTTCTACTGTACGGTCGCAAGTCTTTTGTCGAATGAGCATGCTAGAAAACCCGCTGAGAATCGTACGATTGTCGGTGGGTCAGTGGCATGCTTGTTCGACAACTGCGGAACGGGCCGGTGTGCGCACTGCCCGTTCAGCATTGCGGTCATCGGAAGCCCGCTCCTCAGCGGGGCGGGCTTGCGATAGTCGCAAGTACGATCTGCCTGTCCAAGATGGGCAGATCGTACAAGCTTTTCTTGCGATGGTTGTAAGGTGTATGGGCACCTTTAGGATCCTTATGCCATGGCCAGCACTGTAGCGTAGTGGTTAGCGCTTCTGCAATGCAGCACAGGGGGTCCCCGGTTCGCATCCCGGCCAGGTCACTATCTGCAAGGAACCCTGTGCTTGCGTGGGTACTCCGGTTTCCTCCCACACTCCAGACATGCTGGAAGGTAAATAGGCTCCTCTCTAAGTTGGCCCTCTATGAATGTGAGATAGGGACCTTAGATTGTAAGCTCCTTGAGGGTAGGGACTAATGTGAATGTGCAACTATGTAAAGTGCTGTGTAAATAGTCGGCGCTATATAAATACCTGAAATTAAAAAAAATCACGCTCTATACACTGTGCATAGACTGTATAGACGCATACAGTCTAAGGTAGCATAGACACAGACTGCTTTTTGATGCAATGACCACAGAAGCAGGGAGTCGGTTTGGATGGTCTGGTAATTACAATTTTTTTTATTAGCACCAGGACAAAAAAAAAAAGGAGAACTTAACCCTTGCAGTGTGGGGGTAGCACTAACAGTTTTTCTGGAGTTCTTCTTTAAAGACAGATTACTAGACTTGGAATGATGAACGTGGAACCGGAAAGGGTTGAACGAATTACCTCTCCCATTAAATATTTGACAGCACATTTGGCCTCCATGATATTCCGGATGGTTTCCCATCTCTGTTTCCCCCGTTCTTCCTCACTGGCGGCATCCAACAACTTTTGCTGCAGGTCGGCTATTTGAGCACTCCTGTCAGTCAGGTTTTGGGTTATTAAAGGGAGAACAAAAAAAAAGTAAAAAAAAAGTAAAAGTGCATATTGTTGCGCAACATCAGTATTAAAGTACATCAGACGGGAACATTATTACAGAAGAGAATTGCCATGTCCAGTTGTCAGATATAACATACATTGGAGGAGGTGGGGTGATCCTGGACTTTGTTTGGGGTAAGAATCACACACACACACACACCCCTCAGAACTCACAAGCCGATGTTGGGGAACATTACCTGAGCTCCATCTCAGTCTCTAAGCTCTCGATCTGTCTGGTGATCGCCTGGTCTTCCTCCATGTTCTCGAGTTCTGTCACAGTGTAGGTTCGTCTCTAAAAATTCACACAGAACATTACGACTTTTCATGGCAAAAAAGGAATGCAGCTGGTTTCCTAATCCCCACTTATTTTTTAATCCCATTATACATGCCGTAAAGCCGTGGTTTTCAACTGGTGGGTTGCGACCCAAAAGTGTGTCGCAACCCCCAGATTTAGTGGGTCGCCACGTGCCTTACACTGCATAAGGCGAGAGGCTCCTCAACCTCCCCCTAGCGCAGCACCGAGCAGCCATTCAAAAATATGCTGCCCGGCACCAAATGTAAGCTTGGGATGGGATGGGGGTATGGCCACGAGGGAGCTCCATCCTTACACACTGTGCTTACAGCTCCCTTACGTGGCCTGTAAAAGGTGCCTGGACTGATATCGCATTCTTGCTCCTGGCACCTTTACAGGGAGTTGTACAAGCAATGCACATAAGGATGGAGCTCCGTCACAGCACAGCAGCCCACACTGGACCCCAGGCTGAGGATCCACTCCATTTCTCGTAAATGTAGGTAGACTGGGTGGATCTTAAGTCACAGTTCTGTGCGATTAACGCACTGTACCACGCAATTGCACCTACAGCATGTCCTGGTGCATTGCTATTCGTTTGAATTACACCCAAAACGTACCTCCCACAGTTGGATCACCCGCATCTAAAAACGCAGAACCACGATGCGGGGCATTCCAGTGCAATACAACTTGGGTTGCAACTTAATGACCAAGGACAAACGTGGGTGCTGAGGTTACACAGGTTGAGAACCACTAGCGTAAAGGAGGAGTGCACTTTAAACACACAGTACACACATTTTCTGCCCCTTTCACCTGACCTAACCCAACTTCCCCTACACAGATGCTTACTGACCCTCGATTCGACAGTTGCTGCGTTTGTTTACACCCGGCGCTGCAAGTCCTCAGTCTTTTCCGCTCCCACGTACTACACCATTAAAAGGAGAACTATGGGGTTAAGTCTTTTCCCCATAGTTCTCCTTAGGGTAATGGGAGGACACAAACTAGCGTCCTCCCGTCACCCTAAGCTCAGTATACCGCAAGCTACAGCTCGCGGTATACCGAGATGCCGCAGCTGAAGCGGATCCCGATAATTGTGCCGGGATCTGCCCAGCTGCGTGACTGACAGCTGGCTCTGCCTATCTAGAGGCAGAGCCAGCTGTACCCGCCCCCTCCCCGTCCGTTCAGTCAGCGCTGGCGGATCGGAGCGGGGAATCCAGCCCCTCCCCTGTCACGGGAGAGAGCCGTGACAGGATTGAGAAGTGAGCGAACGCCGGTATGTGTTCGCTCACCTCCCAATCTACTGAGCCGACCTGTGACAGTCTAATTGTCACAGGTCGGCTAGAACTATGAGGTGAGTGAAAAGCACCCCCCTCATAGTTCTCCTTTAAGGGCCTGTTCACACGACATCCGTTTTCTGTGCTGACCTGATCCGTATGCTCCTGCACTTAAAATGCATCCCAAAGTATCCCTATGCGTTTTATGGGCTACAGTTCTCGCGTGCGCAGTCCGTTCAACTTACGACAGAAAAAAAACTGCATGTCACATTTTGTCCGGTCTGGAAACTCACGAACGCGGCAAAAAAAAGCAACGAAAACGCAACGCAGCTAAGCAAAAAAAAATAGTATTCTTGCTCCACTTTTTATGATGTCATAGGACATATGAGTAAAGGAAAAAAATTTATCCGGGTGACCTCGCAAATCCTCATACAAACTCCAGAACTGACCCTTGGAGTCCCGGAGCCTCAGGATCGGGTGTACCCAATAACGACGTCTCCTGCGGGCTCGTTCTCTGCAGATTGCTGTAGTCAGCACCATCAACATGCCTGCAAACATGGGATACATGTCTGATCACCAGCTTTACATACACAAAGGAAAGTAGATGTTCCGAGAGGGCGGAAGTGACCTCAGAGGAAGAATCTGCATACTGACAGCCCCACGGCTAAAAAAGAACCGTCAGCATCCGGACCGAAAACGCTTAAAAAACGCACTGCTTCTGCAGATCCGCACCTGATCAGGACCTGATATCATGTGAACAAGCCCTAAATCATCTTCATGCGACTTCTTGTGTCCCTCAACGGATGAAAACATGGCCAACCCCTTGGGAGTGGATTTGCACATTTTCTAGCAAGGCAGCGTTCAGTCTGTACTGCATTACTCACCCGTATCTTTGGAGGTATGCGTTCTCCCGCTTCTCTCTTCTGCTTCAGCTGGACTATATCTTGAGCCAGAATCTTTCGGTCTTCAAGGAGATCATTCAAATGTCCCTGTGCTTCCTCTGTGCTCGCAAGAACCTCCTCCTCGCTGGCTAGCCAGTTCTAGGTGAAAAGAAATACAAATACAGTAGTAGTAGTAAATGCCCTCCATGAGCTGCTGAACACAGTTTGTAGGCAAAAAAGTAAAACGGTTCCATCTCAGGTAAAAAGTAACAGGTTGGCTGGGCGGTAGTGACTTCCCAGTACTTCTAATAAGCTTGTTCATTGGAGGGCCCCGCCCCCTCCCCCCAAAAAAAGGTCAGGACTGCCAGGTACACTTACACCGAGCAGCCACCAATTTGATTTGCATACCTTGACCCTCGTGGCTGCTCCCTCCATGCCTTTATTCTGGGCATCCTTGCGTCGGTCCATGGCTTCTCTCTGTTTCAGTAGGGCTTCCTTCAAACGTTTATTAGCAGTCGCTGCCTATAAATGAACATTTGTTAATATGAAAATTTGATGTAGTGACACCCAGTCACCAAAACACATCGAAAACTTTTGACACGTTAATGTATTTTAAAAATTGGTTATACAGAACTCCAGGCACGTTAATACCCTTCCTGTTCTAGGGTAACAACTAGAGATGCACCAATATCGAGTATTTGGGTGAATACTCGTACATACAAATACTCCAATACTTATTGTGATACCGGAACTTCCGGTCAGAGGGGGATTTCCTCTGACCGGCAGTGCCACATGGGAACATGGAGCCAGCTTCCCGGGCCTAGGGTAATTCGTGGCCCGGCTCTCCGATTGGCCCAGAAGCCGGCTCGATGCTGGTTGGTCGGGAAGCTGGCTTCCCAGTCAATCAGCATGGAGCTTGCTTCCCGGCCAATCAGGAAGTGGGTAACGACCTGCCTCCCAGTTTGCCGATTGGCTGGGAACACGCCAGATCCATGCCGATCAGCTGTGATGCTGGCAAGGCAGCCAAACAGCATGGAGCCGGCTTCCCGGGCAATCAAGAAGCCGGGCAGCAAGTAATTATACGGGTCCTGATTGCCCGGGAAGCCGAGTCCATGCTACCAGAAGTCCTGGTATTCGGTATCGGCGAGTACTGAAAAATGAATATCAGTACCCTATATCGTAAAACCAGTATTTGTGCATCCCTAGTGACAACTGTCCTATGTGCCCCTGTGTCGTCACCCTGCCACATGCACTGGTTGGGACTACAAGCTTCCATGGCGACGCACATTGCACAGACATGGGGCACCATTCCATTAGGAAGCTGGCCCCGAGTAATTAGATGCAGTCGATGTTGGGGCAGGTAGACCGAAGAGGGCACATGGTAACTACTTCTGATACACAGATGAAAAATAATTTTCCCAGTTAGTTTAAATCTACTTTCACGAATAGCAACCCCTGGAACAAAGCATTTTCTCTTACCTCTTCGGATTTCCTCCGCAGCACACTGGCTTGCTTCTGGAAGTCTCTCTCCAACTTCAGCAGCTCATACTGACGCTTACGATCCTATAAAATTAATATATTAGGCACCACATCAGGTAATACATGTGCGATGCTTATCCACGACGAGTGCGGAAGTGCTACGTACTCGCTCTTTAAGTTGAATAACTTCCTTAGTTTTTTCCTGCTTGAAAGAGCGAAACTTCTCCGCATCCTCTTTCATCTGCTTCATAAGCTGAACCCGCTGCATTTTCATGCCCTGGAAAAGACACGAAAGGTAGAATGTAAAATTCAAGGTTTATTATTGTATAGAGCAGTGGTCAGGAATCATTTCTACTAGGGATGCACCGATACTTTGAGTACCAGTGCCGATACTTGGCATTTTCAAAAGAACTACCAGGGTTGCAGCTGGGACCTGGCTCTGGCGCTCCACCACTGTCCTGAAATCATTACTCTGTATTGTTTTAGAAAAACTGTCACATGACAACAAAAATGTATCAGTACTCGTACTTGTGCAAGTATCAGTACTTGTACTCGCAAAACTGGTTTCGGTGCATCCCTTTATTTATATTTATAAAAACAAAATCATACATTAAAACAAAGATTTACAAATCACAGGAGCTCCGTGTGCGCCTTAAAAATGACAGCGGCCTCCTAACTTTTGAATTTTTCTCTAGTCTAGTGTTGGTGCTCGAAAAGTATCGGTACTTGTACAGAGTAATGAATAACTAAATGTGCCGAGCTTTAGTTATTAATTTTTCACGTATACACACTCACAGTGGGTGTACATTCCAGTGCCTTGTAGTTGTTAGCTTGCTTATTGGCGCAGTTCATTCTCTATATTTTACTACTTGTACAGAGTACTGTACTTAGTATTGGTGCATCCCTAATTTCTACACCAGCTGGAAATTTACAAAGGCAATAGGCAACTTGCATGCTAGTGAACATAGTGTGCTGCCGACCTCAGACAAGCCCCAATTCATGCATCATTAGAAATGTAGGGGGTTTATATCCATACCTGCTGCAGTTGGCTATTGCACTCGGAAAAGGAGTGTAGACTTATTGTAAAGCGCTGCGCAAACTGTTGGCACTATATAAAAATCGTGAATAGTAAATACCAAAATTAATAATAAATAAGACAGGCAGGCCAATGATGTTTGCAGCTGCCAGAGTGCCTACACTAGTACTGGTGCTGGCACCTGAATGTACTGTGACATCTGAAACATAAAATGGAGGTGGGTGGCTTGTGGACACAGGCCAGGTTTTGTAATTGCCAGCATAGTGAGCAGTCCGTTACAGTGGCACTGGCTTTGTAGGGAGCAAAGGCCCACCAAAGGATCTGTTGGTCCTT